CAACAATGTTAAAGGGTGCCTGTCCCCTGTAATCTCTCCAGCATTTGTTCCTGTTTGATTTTGTGATGACAGCCATTCTTTCTGGACTAAGATAAATTCCCAATCTTGTTTTAATTTGCATTTCTGTGATGGCCAGAGAAGTTGACACTTTTTCATGTATTTATTTCATCTATACTTCCTCTGAGAAGTATCTATTTATTTTAGTTGTGGCTTTTTGATTTGGCCTTTTATTTTGGAGAGGTCTGGTTTTTGGGAGGCTCTTTACATGTTCTAGATATTAGTCGTTTATCAGAGGAGTAGCTGGCAAATTTTTTTCCCTTTCTGTAAATTGCCTTTTAACTCTATTGGTTGTTTTGTTTGATGTGCAGAAGCTTTTAAATTTGATACAGTCCCACTTGTTGATTCTTGAATCCCAGGAATCTGGCTTCTGCAGCACTGGCTCCTTCTCTGGATGTTAGAACCTCTCCTAAGATAGCGTGTTCTCTCGGTACAGGGTGTGGAGGGAGCTGCAGATCAGCAGGGGTCTGCTTCCTTTTCTTAGCAACCCTCGTATTTAGTTCGATCTAGTGGGTTTGTCTCTCATGTTGACTCTGTCTCTGGGAGTGTTTGTCTCACCCTATCATGGTACCTGCGTTATCTGAGGCTCTCCCCTGGGCTCCTCAGGCGCCTCTCTCTCTGATTGGTGATCCTGTAATATCTCCCCTGCTGTTTTAATTTTTAAACTGTACCTTGAACCATGTATGAAACAATAGTTCTTTTAAACACCAAATGCTTTTCATAAGTGAACATCTTAATTATTTCTCAATAAATTCTGTCAACTCTTCCCTCACCCAACCTACACTGAGAATTTCTACTTCCTGTGCTTTTACAATACTTTCTCTTGAAGCATTTGGGATATAAAAGTCATCTAAATGGTAAGACCCCCAACAGACCTACTCAGACTTTTGCAAGCCTTCTTAACTCCAACTGTTTGGTCTGCTGGTCTCCCTGATACTAACAAGAAGAAAAAAAAGAAGAATAAAAAGAAGGAGCCCCCCAAATGGAACAGTATCTTTCCTCTACCCGGCTTCTTCTCAAGATACCACATTATATTCCTGGGTTTGTTCACTCTTGTATTCTTGGAAGCAGAGGTGAGCTGTGAGCTAAGTGTCCTTACCTCTTTTGACCCTTAGAAACCTCCTCACCTTTATGACTATAGTACTGACCCTGCTGCCCACTGCCTGAATTCTGAAATTTTTATGTTCTAGACACCACTCACATCTGCTCTTAGCTTTAAATCCACTTTTCCTTTCTTCTCCCTCCTTACTGGTTCCTTTTTCTCTAAGCAAACATTAAGTGTTATCGAAACTTCTGACTATATTTATTGTTCTTGTCTCCAGCCTTGCAATTTACCCTGAGTGATCCCACCCAATCTTTTTGCATAAGTGTCAACATTTTCTCTACAATTTTGGTCTTCATCTTCCTCCTTTTCTGAATACAAGGTACAGAGATGCAATCAATAGTTAAATTGCTCTGGCTGGAACACTTGAAACCTCTTAAATTTAATACATCCAAAATAAAACCATTACCTGTCTCCAAGCCTATCATTTGATTTCTGTTCAGTTAAACCAATTGGTCTATGTTATCATTGTTGACAGATCCATTTCATCTTTTTAAAATTATTTTTTATTAAGTTTATTGGTATAATTTAGATATACACATTGATCACATTCATCATAGGGAACTTGTACCTGTACATGATGTATCTTGGTTAGACCTCAGTTAAATATCTTCGACTCTTTTCTCTACTCCACACCAGTATACAGTCATTTGGGGATATTTTCCCCCTAAGTCTTCACAAAACATTTGAGAAATGAAATTGAAATGATCTATAAAATACCTGACCTCTTGGGAAGTAGTGAGGCCTTGAAAAGTAAGAAAGATGAAATTTTTATAGGTTGTGGGTGACTGAGGACATATAATGACTGAATATAACATGGTGCCCTAAACTAGAACCTAGGAAAGAAAAAAAAGTCCTTAGCAGAAAAATTGGTGAAATCACTAGTTTAGTAAATAGTAATATGCCAATGCTAGTTTGTAATTTTGACAAATTTTCAGTGAGTTTGTATGTAAGAAGTTAAGATTAGGAAAAGCTGGAAGCTGTCCATATCATAGAAAAATTTCTATAAATTCAATATTACTCCAAAATAAAAACTAAAATAACACAAACAAAAACAAACAAGACCTCCAAACATAATATCATGGCTTCTCACTTCCCGCCCAATGCTTCAATAGGCCTGTCACTGAGACAGGGACACTGTGTAATTGTCAAGTGCCACAGGTGATTCTTATACACTCCAGATGTTACAGAACCACTTGTGTGAAAAACAGCTGGAAGTTGCCTATGACATTTCCCCTATATTGGCTTTTAAGAATTTTATAGGAAGGACCATAAATGGGCAGAATTTTTTTTTAACAATTTCTATTAGGAATATGCTACTTAAGAAAACACAAATGATTCTGAATATAAGGAATAGAACTGGCATGTTGAATGGCTTTTCACACAAAGAATGGCATGATATATATTTTATTTCTAAATACAGTTTACTGTAGCTTTGCTACTTGGCAAGGAGCCCAAAAGCTTATTAATTTTTTATGGACCAGGAAATTATTTGCACATCTTCATTTTGCATTCCATTTGCTTTGTTTAAAATCCGGAGAACTTTCATATGGTATATGTGTGTGTTTACTGTGTAACTGAAACACTTTAAACTTATGGCAATAGATAGTAAAATTAACAACAATGGAAACCAACAACATCTCTTAAGATGTAGGAGAAAGGTTTTAAAAATGTTCCAGTTACAAAAGATGGAAATTAGAGAGGCCATGTGTGTATTGTACTTTCCAGGAAATGTACTGTCGGTGTGCATGACACTGTTCCCTGGGTCAGTGAACACCTAGCGATTCAAGTAGGGTACTAGGGCCTCCTAGGATTCCCTAAATTGAAAGATAACGTATGTATTTACATATTCTTAAAGGCTGTGGTAGTGAGTCAAAAGTATTAGGGCATAGTCAACATGGGAATCTTTTGAGAAGTACAGTTTCATACCCAGCTTGACCTCCTTGAAGAGGTGACTGGATCATAGGAACATCCACTGGTGGTCGTAGCTGAATGCGCTTTTAGGAGGCAGGGCCCATTTGGAGGTGGGTCATGGGCCCTGGCCTTTGTAAATGCATGTCTTGTTGGCACTCGTACCCTGTGTTGCTATTCCTGGCAGCTATCCATTGAGCAGCTTTGCTTTATTATCCCTTCTTCCAGCTTTCTGCCTTGGAGGCAGCCCAGCATGCACTGAATCCTCTGAAATCCTGAGCCAAATAAACCTCTCTTACTTCAAGTGCAGGTGTTGATACTTTGCCCAGCAACATGAACCCTAACTAATACAGATAAGAACGTGCCAGACTCAGGACTTTCAAATCCTTCTAATAAGCAGCGTTTATTTGCCACAGTTTTACTTGAACAAGATCAGTGGAGACAAGACTATAGACTGAGAAGTGGCATAATAACAAGGAAACAAGGAACAATGACACTGCTGCTCCGGTCTGCATGTTTCATACATAAATAAATGATACTGTTCCAGAACTCAGAACACCTAGAGAGAAATCCTCAGTCCCCCAGAGGATGTTCTAAAGGACAGTAACTTATAGCAACTGCACAAACCACTCCCAGATAACTCAAATCTTCTAGGTGGAAATAATGCCGACAGATTCATCTTGATCCCAGAGGTCTAACTCCACCCAGGGACTAAGTTTCTTTTCTCATTTCCACCCCGTGAGTTTCTTAAACCACATACTCCTGTTTGGCTTTCGTGTCTCTTCTCATTTAGCTCTCAGGTCCATTTAGGTGTGCAAAGGCAGTGTGTTCCCACTGCTTTTAAAATGTGACGGTTGTCCCTTAGCATTCTCCTGAGACTCCGCACAGCAGTGAAGCTTTCCTGCATGACTTCCCAGACCAGCTCCCCTCTGGGCTTCCTCAGAGGCAGTGGCAGTGCTGTTAAACAGAGGAACACATTAGCAAAGCAATTTTCTTCAGTCAGTTAACTAGTCATTCTTCTATTAGAACTTTACAATATATGATACTCCTCACTCATGAAGGATTTCCTGAGAAAATGGGAATATTAAAATCTGTAAAAAAATAAGGTAATGGTAGCTATGCAATTTTTGTCTGTATTTTAGAAAGTAATAGAGAAAATTCATTTTTTTTCCACGGTGTGTGTGTGTGTGTGTGTGTGTGTGTGTGTAAATCAGGGCAGATCCTTTGATCTTTCAATCACTGCTTATAATAGACCATTCCAAATCCTCTTTGTTAAAAAGAAACACAGAGGCTCAGTCTTCTAAATGTCTTGCCCAAGATATTAACTAACACTGTGAACTGCATTCAGGGTAAAGTTTCTTCTCTCTCCCTTCTCTGTCAGAGACTGCTCATGGAGCCAGGCTTCTGCCACCTGCTTGCACTTCTTCAGGCTCATCACTTCCCAGGGCAAAGGTGAAGCTGGAGGAAATAGAGGTGGCAGTGGTGAGTTGAGCAATAGCCACCGAAAGCTAATTGTTTTTTTTTTTTTTTTTGGTTTTTCTGGTTTTTCTCTGGTACCGGGAACCGAACTGACGACCTTGCGCTTGCCAGGCAGGCGCTTTGCCGCTGAGCTAAATCCCCAGCCCCCGAAAGCTAATTGTTAAATGTCAGGAATACTGCGAGCTGTTTGTCAAACCATCAGTAGTTTGAAATGTGGTGGGTAGACTTATACCACGCAGACTGGAACATACTACAAATCAGGGTTTGCCCTGTCCCTGGAGAGCTGTTTACCAATAGAATGCTTTGACAGAGAATGAATTTCCCTTGGCTTTGGTGGCTTTGAATTTTCTAGCCTTGGCTGAAAATTCCCCTGACTCCTCCCCAACATGAGAGTTCTTTGTAGACTCCTAGCCTCAGGTACTTCTGTCTCTCCAACCCTATGCCTGTTGTCCTTTGGCTGGCTGCTCCCACTCCTCAGTCGGCTTTCATTGCAGATGACCAACCCTATAGACTCCTGTTATTTGGGGTCCCTTGTGCACTAAGCAGGATTCTTTCTTATATCACCACAAAGCAACTTTCCTATTATATTAGTTTTCTATTGTGGCATAAAAATTACTGCAAACTTAATGACTTAACACATATTTATGATCTCAGTTTCTGTTGTTCAGAGTTACCAGATTCTTTTGTTCAGGGTCAGACAACATTACAATCAAAGTGTCAGATGAACTGCATTCCTTTCCGGAACTTGGAGTCCTTGTCCTTGAGGTATTCAGTTCTGGGCAGCTGTGGGATTGAGGTCCCTGTTTTCTTGCTGGCTGTTAGCTGATGATGCTTGTCAGCTCCTAGAGGCCACTTACAGTCCTTTGCTATGCATTACTTTCTCAAGCCCTTTAACAGTACAGCAGTTTACTCTTTCAAACACAGGAGAGTATCCGGCTCATTAGGATGGAGTGCAATGTAATGTGGTATATTGTGATGTAATGACAAAAATGCCTATCTCAACATCTTCCTAATCAAGGGAGTAAAGTGCATTTCTTTTACCAGCGTGTAGCACAATCAAAGCAGTGATATCCAATTGCATTTGTCACATTCCATTGGCTACAAGCAAGTCACAGGTTTCCCCATATCCAACTGGTCCAGGCTGAACAGACAAATGCAAGACTTATTGGTGTCACCTTTTGATATGTCTGCCATACTTACCATAGATGTGATGTCTAATCCTTGAGTTCCAGAGACTTTTAATTGCCTTTTGGGTGGCGGGGAGCAGTTTCCTTCTAACACAGCCTCAGTTTTCTGTGTATACTGCCAGAGTAGCCTGCTGGCTTCAGTTCTCCTGGATTTCTTGGGCAGCCGTTCAGCTCATGTCTACTCTGTTTTCATTGCAGATACTATGTGCAAGTCCCCCTGGTGGTCACTTTGAAATCCAGAGTCTTCAGACTTTAGGCAAAGAAACTGAAACTGACATTCGATTCTTGACCTCAGGGCACAAAAAGGATTGGTGAGTACAGTGTCTGTTCCTCCAAAGAATTTGTAGAGACACAGTGGTCTCTTGGTGGTCCCTGGGAGAAAATGGGAGGGAATTTACAAAATAAAGACAAGAGACAAAAGCTGGAGTCAGGTGGTGGCCTCTTACCTGATAGGCAAGAGGACTGACTGCATTTATTTATACCTTTGCAAAGTTAGTATCAGGAGACACAAGGTTGCCTAGAAGCTAATGACTGAAATTGTCTGGGCAGGATGTTTTTTCAAGACTGTGGTATCTTAACTGCTTTAGGCATTCTGGCCCTGTCTTGCCCTCACACATATGACTAATTTTCAGCTTCAATTGTTTCCAACAGAATTCTCAAAGTTTTCCCCTAACATTCTAACTTCTTTGTGTAAATTTGACCTTCCCAGTGGACTCACGTGTCAGTAGAGTCTTCAGCTTCCACAGTACAAGCACTATTCCTACACATGACTTTGGCTTTATCCTCTTTATCACTGAAGCAGGCTGCTCCATGCTCTACTGTTCAGTTGGCTCTAACTTCTTATTAGAAACAAAAAGATTGCAAAGCATAGGAGCATGCATACAATGAAAGTGTGTGAGTGGCTCTGAGGAGAAACCGTAGAGCAGGGTGGGTGAGGGCAGAGCAAGGCAGTATTATTTTTCTTTAAAATCATTTTAACACAGTTTAATTTTTAAACATATTTACCTGTATTCTCTGGATTTCAAAGGCATATATTCAAAGAAGTGTTATGTTTAAAATTGGAAGTTTACTCATTCGCAATGCTTTAACATTAAGAGATAAAGCTCTTGGTGACATGTTTGAGGCCTCTAGGAAACAAGCTTACTGTATTAGTGGTGAGGAGCCAGGTTACCTTCATCAAACCTCCTAAACAATGAATCAGAATTTCTTCGTCTTAGTTTCTGTGGGTCAGGCTTGCGAGGCTCTTCTGCCCAGTGTCCCACAACTCTGTACGCAAGGTATCAGATGAGCTGCTTCCAAAGTAATGATGTGGGCTCAGATGAAAATGTATTTGTTGAACATAAGCTATATTGATGACTTGCATTTAACATGGTTAATGTTGGATTGTTGATTACATGTTTGACATTTGTGGAAATTAACTATAACTCTAATAGAATTACTGGAGTATTTTATGTTAAATATACATTAATCTTCCTCATTCCTCTAATCCTATACTTTAGTTTTCTAGACTAATAGGTACATAGGGCAATATAAACCACGCACTAGAGGGAACAAAAGCAAATGCCAGAAGGCTGAAGCCAGCGTTCCTAGCTGGGAGCCGATTGGCTGGTGTCACAGGAGGCAGTCTGTTTCCCTACTCGTACTCACAGGGTCAGGCCCAAGTCACAAGCAAGGACAGCCCCTGTAATTGGCAGCTACAGTAGTCGGTCAGTATCCAGACTTAAGGGGTTTGGTGCTCTAAGCCTCTCTTTTGAGCTGAATTTTCCAATACTTGAAAGGCAGATTAGAAAACAGAATCACAATTACACTTAATTGTCTATCGTAAACTGACCTACACTATTTTGTAAATGTGTAGCTCCTGAGTTAGTTTTGGTAAATAATAAGAGATACCAACTAGTTTGTTGTGGGTGAAGCTTAGCTACTCTCTCACCACCTTGATGTCAGGTGCTGATAAAAGACTACCTCAAAATTCTGAATCATATCCAGGCACTGATTACCCGCTCCAGGCCAGTTCATGCCAGTCACATTAAAAAATTTTATTATATACATTTGAGGTTCACAAAATATTGTTATAAGATGCAACTAGTAAAATGATTATTATAATAAAGGAAATTAATATATCCATCAATTCACACAGTTACTGTTCTAGCTTTCTGTTACTATGAAAAATATTTGAGAAAATCAACTTAAAGGAAAGATGTATTCTGCTTCACAGTTTCAGTGGTGTCCGTTCATGGCTCACTGGCTTGATTGCTTTTGGGTCTGTGGCGAGGTTGAACATCATGGTGGTGGGAGTGCGTGGCAAAGCAAAGCTGCTCATTTCAGAGTGGCTGGAAGAGAGAGAGCAAGCGGGGGGCCAGGGACAAAACACACCCACGAGAGGCAGACCCCACTGACCAGCTTCCTCCTCATAGGTCCCACCTCCTTGAGTTTCAACCACCTCCCAGCAGCCCATCAGATTGTAAATTTATCAATGGATTAATCCATTGTCAAGGTCAGAGTCCTTCTGATCCAATCATGTCCCCACCTTGGGCATTGACAGATGCACCTTGGGGAACATTTCAATTCCAAATCACAGCAATTGCTCTGTGTGTGTGTGTGTGTGTGTGTGTGTGTGTGTGAGTGAAAAGAGCAGCTCAGATCTACTTATTCAAAAGTCCTTAAGACAATACACTTTTATTTATGTAGTTAAATTGTACACTGGATTTCTAACATGTTCATCCCACATGTCTGCTACTGTGCACACCTACCCTAAGCCCATGGAGGTCTTAGTGTTTTGTCTTTAGGTGTTTCACCAACTCTTGAGAATTGGATGCCACTAATCTTCTGTAGTACCTGGGCATAGGACTCAGACCTTGTCAGATTCTTTTTCTTAGGTTAGCAGTGTCCTGAAAACATGTTCTTAGCTCATCTGTGTACCTAACCTGTCATTAATGTCATCAGTGAGTGCCTGGCTCTAACATTCTTCATGTTGACTTCCTGGCTTCTGCTTCGGATGAGAGGAAGGGCAGCTGAAGTTATGTGCTAGTCTCCAGAGTGTGGGCTTCTCAGTTCACTACTAACTAGCTGGGTAACCCCTCCTCAGGGTGGCCATTCCTGCTTAGGACCACAGCAATAAGGCCCTACTTAAATGAATACAACTATGCTGAAATATTTTAAAGCAAAACATGTATGTCATAACAATACCCATCTGTTAGATTACATTTGGTCACATTTTCTAATAAATATCAGTATCCTTGGAGCAGGAGAGCACATATTTGAAAACAAAGCACTTGAGGGAATGCTATTACATAAATCTCTCTCACCGGAGCTTGTGTTAGCTGTGGACCAAGAGGGAACATAAATTTTGCTGTTGTACTTCGTTCTTTTTCCATTTCTGAAATAAACTTGGCAAGAAGACTGAGTCTCCTGGTCATCACTAAGCTGATTCAAACCATTGGAAATTATCATTTTTTTCCCTCAGTGGCATTTGCAGAAAATTGATGTCACATATGTGGCACTAGCTTGAGCATGGTGTTGTCTTCCAAGGAGAGTTGTGTTCTTTATCTCATGACTACATTCTCAGGTGGACTCCAAAGAAACCTCTCTCTCTCTCTGTCTCTATTTCTCTCTCTCTGTGCATCTCTCTGTTTATTTCTGTCTTTCTCCCCCATTCCTTCCCTCTTTCTCTTTCTTTACAATTTGCCTTCTCTCTTATACTTTCTACATTGCTATTTTAAAACATTTCTCCTAATAAGGTAATTCACTTCCAGATTCTTTATAATACCAGCACTGAGCTACTTCTACAAAGGGAGCTAGTTAAATTTCCATTGTTCACTGTCAAAGACCTTCCAGGGGTAGCAGCTTCTATGGTTTCTGCTGCATGTTTTAGATGTCCCAAGTGTACAGGTTACCCCTTGGCCAACAGCTTTGCACCTAAGGCAGCACCACCCCTTGATGAATGCTCTAAATCTTCTCTTTGGGCTTTTATTTCTTTCCTCCAAGTGTCACGGGTTCTTAGTTCTTACGTGCAGGCTCTGAAACACTAAGGTTGCCTTTGATCACTTAACTTTTCATGCATTCATTAAATATTTACTCATCATTCCTTCCAAGAGGAAGAAAATAAACATAAAAATGAGGGGAATGAATCCTCTAACCATGACGGTACACTTGAGAATGGCCTTTTAACAGTAATGCTAGGACATTTCCATGGAGCTCCTTGTACTACAGAATTGAACATCTGGAGAATGGTATGTTAATTCCACTTCAAGAAACCATGGGTTACAATGATATACCTAAGGGCTAGAATTAACCTTCATCTTTCTTTTTTTCCCCACTTCCTTTTCTTTCTTTTAAAAATCTGATTTCAGAACTGGACTGACAACTCAGTTAATTGAATCAAGAAGAGATTCCCCTGTTGGTCTAACTCAAAGCGAATTCCATCAAGGGTAACTAAAATGTACTTATTCAAGATTCCTTCAGACAATACAATTTTATTAACTGCAGCCATGTCGCACATTAGATCTTTACACTTGTTCATCCTACATATCTACTACAATTAAACAGGAGCAAGGGAGACTTTGAACTTCGACAACACAGCTCAGTGTGTGAGTATGGAGCTAAAAACAGGATGACTTGGCGGCTCACCACAGCTCTGTGTCGCACTTTTAGACAAAATGGAAAGAAGACACCTCTTTAGCTCACAGAGGAGATATATCACATAGTACAACCCTTCACTGTTCTCAGCACATAACTGGTGCTTAATAAATAAGTACTTGTTTGCTGACGTAATATGTGATTAAATTGCTCCTAATGTACCTTTGTTTGATCCCGTGGAATTTATGGGCCTCCTGGGCACAAGCCTGCCACAGGTTTCTGAGCTGAGAATCCACACAGGTAAGTCTTCTAATCTCCAGTAAAACAAAGGATAGCATAAATATTCACTGTATTGAAGGTTTAAATAAATACTGAGCGTCCACTCTCTAACACATATGTGAAATGATCTTGGTTTGTTCCTTGGAGATGAGCCAAATGGTTTAGTGAATGTGGAGTATTTTTTCTCCTTTACTTGTATAGACCTGTTCTAACTTAAAAATAAGGTAGTTTAGTTAAGATAATCTCCAATTTGACCTTTCTTTAAAGCACAGGAAGCTAGTTTAAGCATAGTTGCCCTGGTGACTGGTTCACAGTCTTGATGCAGGTGGAGCAGAGTTCCGGAAGGGAAGTTGCTTTGTGTTCACTGTCTGGTTGCCTTCCTGCCTTCTAGGATCTGTCTAGTGTTCAGCAAGTTGAAACCTGTGGCATAAGAGATACATAGGGTAACATAAAATGG